TCTCTCTCTCTCTCTCTCTCTCTCTCTCTCTCTCTCTCTCTCTCTCCAGCTAAGAAAAAACCCACGTATCTTCTTCTCCCCACCTCACCTATAACTCAAAGCCATTAAAAATCATATTAGTAAAAATGATGATACGAGATGAATGAGAGTAATGGTGTGTTGGGGTTTATCAAAAGGAAAGAGAAAAGTTTTGGGGCTCGATTCGGTTTTTTATTGATTGAGCTAAAGGGGGAGATGGAGGAACTGTGTGATCTGCAGGTGACAAATTAAAGTACAGAGGGTTCTTGATGGGTAATTTCAGAAGGAGGCGGTGAGAAGGGATGTAAGTCGAAGATGAAAAACGAGATTACGACATCGGAGAGGGTCATTGATTTGGACCTGGAAGACGAGAAAGATACGAGAGGAGTGGATAGAAGACAATAAAAATATCACTCCTCCATTACTAAAGTTGCTTCATCTTCATCCAGTGGCAACTTCTTTGTTGAGATCTTAAAAGGTTTTCTGTTAATCTGCTCAGATTGATTCAGGGGTAAAAGGATAAATCGAGATGCAACTGTTATGTGTTCAAGAACTGATCATAACCCAAATCAAAAATCAAAGTTGCTGGTGGTTGAGGAAGATGATGATGGACCACGAAAAGAACCAAACCCACCAGAGCGTCTCCATCGACTACTTCTCTTCATCTACCTATTCTTACTGGTTATATCTGCAACTAGGCAGAAACCCCTTAACCCATTGAAGTAAATTTATACAAGAATCTTGTTGTGACAAGTCATAAGGAATTTCTTAAGTCTAAGAATCATGGATATTTGTATTGCTTCTCAACCTCATGTGAAACTTTCAGTCAACCAAGCCATAATTTTGATCTGAAAAGATCCTTTGCGGAAGCAGACCCCACAAGTGTGAGAATTTTGATCAAAATCTCATCAGGAAGAAAAAAATAGAAGTCATCGACGACTGACGAATTTTTTCTGATGCCATTTAGAATATTTAATTTCAAAACACAGTATATCAAAGTAATACGTACTTTGGGTATATATATATATATATATATATATATATATATATATATATATATATATATATATATATA